GCTTCCTACCAGTGCAGTCACTTGTAGGGTTTTTGTTCTTTCGCCTATTTTTCTTTTCTATCTGCTTTTTTTCTCTTTTCCACATTTTTTTTTTTTTCGCCCCGTACCAGGGATCGAACTCAGGTCCTTAAGCTTGCGAGGCAGGAGGCTGAACCACTGAGCTAAATCCCCGGCCCTCCACTTTATCTATTAGAGACCTACATAATCCCCAGAAGAAGAGTGCTTTATGAAATATTTTAAGTTTTATTCATAGGTAATCACAGAAAATGATTTTTAACCTATAAGTTCCATACCAAAAAAAGAATATAAACTTTTCATGTAACCTCATGCATATTGAAAATACAGATAATTTTAATTCCATTGCATTTTTCAGAATTCTTAATCATAATCCTCTGACAACTATCGAAGATTCATCTCTTTTGAAATTACCAGCATTAAAATATCTGTAAGTATTACAATTAATTCTGTATCCCATAATATGACTTCTGCTCTTCTTGCCTCCTTCCATCAGTGGTTAAGTATTGTACTTTGATTCTGAAAGTCATAATTTTAATTTTAATCGGGTTCTTGGCCAAGAAAAGGACTAAGATGTATGATGAGCAAAAGACTTAGTGGGGACAGAGCAGCGTCGAGGAACACAGTAGATGTGGGACACGTAAACGGATGTAGGAACATCATTTACCCCAGAGAGCATAGAGGAATTGTTATTAAAAATAAAAAATAGAAAGCGAGGGAAGTGAATGCAGTATAAAAAGGAGAAGGAAGATGACATTGAAAAAAGATGTAGCGTCTACTCTGCAATGCCTAGGTCATTAATTTGGCAATGAAAAGACTAAATTTGAATTTCTTCATGAAGAGCTCTCTGGGATTATATTTTATGATAAGCTCATGTGTTGGCTTGTTTTAGTAGAAGGCAAAATTGAAATAAAGACATGTCCTTGAAATACCTGCTTAAGTACAGAACATTTGTGTTGGGGTCCTCATTTGTCTGGGCTTTCTTCTCCAGAGACTTGGGACAAACTCACGTGTCATTGACAGCACTTGAGAACATCCTCACATGGGCTCTGGAATTAGAAACACTGTAAGTGAGTTTTTTCTTAGATTTCTTTGA